TAGTTATCAATGTGAAAGCAGACAGCGTAAAAGGCAAACTTGGTCATGATGTCAAAAACTGGTCATGTCATGTCAATGAGCTTGCAATTATGTCTTGAGATAGGACAGTAGGTATCAATGTGAAAGACATAGAATGGCCTTTCCTAATGTGAAAGACAACTTGTGCATGATGTCAAATACTAATGCTGCAGCATTGGCAATATGATGGCAATCCTTCAACCTCATCCCCATAACATAGATAGGGCCAAGGACACCATAAACTACATGTCAATTACAAACTTTTTTAAATGAAAAAGCAGAGACTACAAACTCTTCTAATAAAAAAGTGCACACTACAAACTTTTCTAATGAAAAAGCGCAACACTACAAACTTTTGTAGTCTCAAAAAGCGGACACTACAAACTTTTTTAATGAAAAAGCGCAACACTACAACTTTTGTAGTATCAAAAAGCGGACACTACAAACTTTTTTAATGAAAAAGCGCAACACTACAACTTTTGTAGTCTCAAAAAGCGGACACTACAAACTTTTTTAATGAAAAAGCGCACACTACAAACTTTGTAGTCAAGATAACCTTTTGACTCTAACCCTAACTATGTAGTCTAAGTCCACGCTTTTGTAGTCTAAGTTCGACTTTTGTAGTCTTTTATAGTGTATCAGTAAACTGTGTAGTCTAAGTCCGACTTTTTTGTAGTCTATCGGTGGACTTGGTAGTCTATATCTGATTCTTATAGTACGGGATGCACCTTCCGTTTTTGGTCATTTTTCCCACGATACAATAATTGTAGCCCTTTCTTTTAGCTTTCTGAATTTACTGAAATCATGTTATTTGGTTTTGTTTTCATAGAGAAAAACACAAAAAAAAAAAAAATGCGATGCTTTTGAAATTCCTTTACCTCTTATATCCACAACGGGAGCACTTCAGAACATAATTGAAAGAGATTCGGGAAGCTACAGTGTACGGCTACAACTTTCGTTTTTTGACCATTTTTGGTAATTGGTCATGTGACCACCATCCAGGGAAGCCCATTGCATGGACCCTGACATGTGGGATACATTTGAAAAATTGCAATGAAATATCAAGGGTATCTATTGAAAAATCGCAATGAAATGCCCAGGGCTCCATTTGAAAAATCGCAATGAAATGCCCAGGGTATCTATTGAAAAATCGCAATGAAATGCCCAGGGCTACATGTGAAATTTTGCAATGAAATACCCAGGGATACATTTGAAAAATCGCAATGAAATACCAAGGGTATCTATTGAAAAATCGCAATGAAATACCAAGGGATACATTTGAAAAATCGCAATGATATGCCCAGGGTATCTATGGAAAAATCGCAATGAAATACCGAGGGATACATTTGAAAAATCGCAATGAAATGCCCAGGGTATCTATTGAAAAATCGTAATGAAATACCCAGGAATACATTTGAAAAATCGCAATGAAATACCCAGGGATACATTTGAAAAATCGCAATGAAATGCCCAGGAATACATTTGAAAAATCGCAATGAAATACCCAGGGTATGTATTGAAAAATCGCAATGAAATGCCCAGGGCTACATTTGAAATTTTGCAATGAAATACCCAGGGATACATTTGAAAAATCGCAATGAAATGCCCAGGGTATCTATTGAAAAATCGCAATGAAATACCCAGGGATACATTTGAAAAATCACAATGAAATGCCCAGGGTATCTATTGAAAAATCGCAATGAAATGCGCCAGGTATCCATTGAAATTTTGCAATGAAATATCCAGGGCTACATTTGAAAAATCGCAATGAAATGCCCAGGGTATCTATTGAAAAATCGCAATGAAATACCAAGGGTATCTATTGAAAAATCGCAATGAAATATCCAGGGCTGCATTTGAAACTTCGCAGAAAATGCGCTGGGTATCTATGGAAAATTCACTATGAAATACCCAGGCCTACATTTGAAATGCCTTTCAAAAAATCCTAAGCATTATAGATATGGCCTCTAGGCTTAAGTCTAAGTTATAGAAATGACTCTCTAGGCTTAAGTCTAGGTTATAGATAAAAGTGGTAGCCACCAGTCATGTAGTCACGCGCTTCACTCGACAAGAAAGATGGGGGAAAGGTCACGTTCTACCAGCTAGGAGAAGGATCGTATACGGTATAGTATATACCGAACCGAAACAGACTCAATCGCAGATGAAGAGGTAAATCACGACGTACATGTGAACAGATAAAAACACACAGTTTTGGTCCTTGGAAGTGCAACGAGTCTGTGTTTACTGTTTACATTTGGTTTACATTTAGCTAACTTATTGAACGAATAATGAACAGTCTTTGTTGAGTATGAAAACCCTTGGAAAACCCGGCTGCGAGGAGCTGGTCGAAGGCCGAGCGACGAGCAGCCATTGTAATTCAAATCAAGATTAACTCAAATATTAAAACCTAGCCAAGTTGAAAATTGCTTGTCAGGCCATGCTGCCTTTATCTGAAGGAACGACTCTGACTACTGTATATTTCTGCTACATTAGTATCGACCTTTGTCAATAAACCAAACCGTGAGGTAAAAAATTATGGTTTGATGTTTCAGGTAGTCCGCTGATCGCATTGGTAAGATTAGTACTACAATATATTTACAGACATCCAAGATCCGTGTGTATTTGTGAGCAGTAAAAAATGTGGCTGCGAGGAGCTGGGGGCCGAGCAATGAGCAGCTTTAAACTACTTGTATCTGACGAATATAGTAAATACTGAGACCATTCAACCTGGCCAAGTTGAAAATGGGCTGTACTAAGTAGTAGCGGGCCATGCGGCGTGCCGCCCTATGTGGTTATTCCCGCTACGTCAGTAGTGGGTCTTCTGTAGCAGCGTCGATTGGCCAAAAAATCACGTGCCAAATTTTCCCATCACGTTTTCATCCACTCGACGTGAAAGCCTATGGAAAGGTCACGTTTTCTTCCTGTTACAGTGTTAGAAAGACATGTTTTCTGGCCTCTCACGTTTTCTACATAACCTCTTTGCGGTCGTCGAACGAAAGGTCACGTATCGTCTCTACGTCGTGTTGACTACAAGACTGATTTCATGCGCAAGACTCGCTGGAAGGATGGATTTGATTTCCAAACGGCGCCAGAAACGAGTTTAAGGCTTGCATTTTTGGAGAAATTCAACGCGCCGCAGTTGGGACTAAACACAGCGCTTGCGGCTCGCATTTTATTGGTCGAGGAACTGTAAGCAGTTGAATATCGTTGTCTACAAATCTGACTAAAATTGTCAACATCCGAACTATATTACTGACGACACCAAAGTCAAGAATCTGTTCATGACCGGAATCCCCATGCTGTGCTCGGTTGAACTCCGAGACCGGTACAACGACCAATTCGTTGCGATCAATGAGATCGTGGAGGCTGATAGAGTCGATGATGAGGCTGCGCACAAAGTACGTATCTTTCGCTACTTCCGATCCTGATTGCATGCTGAATCTAAATGCCAGATGTACACTAACAAAGAAGCCGTAATTCACTCGAACACCGATTATTTGTTCGTGGTCACATCGCTCCCAAAATACATCGTGCGTAGTCTTGAGTTCTATCTTATCAACAATTCACCTGGAACCCAGGTGCCTCGCGTTGCTCCGGAACGCATCCCCACACTTAAACGTTTAATGAAGTGTTCACGAGATGTCACTTCCCCGACAGACCTTGCTCCCGTTGGGGAAGACACTGATCGCGCTACGGGGCCAAATTCCGGTGATCATAAGGAAATCAAAGTGGGCAATAGTACGTACGACTCGAACGTTCTCATCGACTATGGCTGTCCACTGTTTCGACACGTCCACAGCCAGTTGGTCCAGCATGATATTTCTACCCTCGATAGGCGCATCATTCCCCCATGGGAAGAATACGACGCACTAAAAGAAGGCACTTTGGTCATCATCACGATATCGATACACACGTTTATTATGCCGATCAAAGACAACCAAGGCAACTTTACAGGTCAGGAAAGAAGGGTATGTGATTGTTACAATGATGACGACATTTAACAAAGTGTAAGATAGGTTTACCAGCTAAATGTGCATCGCATCCTCATAGTCGATGAGTCTGATGCGGAAGCTGAACCTCGCTATAAGCCCTACACAAATGAAGAAGCTGTAGCCGTTACCGCTGTGACGCCCGTCGAAACCGCAGCAGATCGAGCACTCGCCACGTTCAAGGTCAAAAAAGCTCGACTTGCATCCCCCCAACGTGAACCAGACGCAGACAAAGAAAAACCAGGGTCCCCCCTAAAACCATCGGTTAACTCGAGCAAAACGCCTGCTAAATCGAACGAAGGCCCGAAACAAACCAAGAAAGCTGCAGCTGGAAAAAACCCTGTTCAGCGTCTGTCCACCAAAGGCAAAGAGAAGGCTAATTCAACCGCTTCTTCAAATTCCACGTCCAAAACGGCCGAAACAGACTCTCTTGCCGACAAGGACCAAATAATGGCAGAAGTGGATGACACTTAAGTGTAACATAGACATAAGTGGATCCTATTTAGGTATTTGAAGGGGGCTTTGTTACTTGTACCAATGAGCGAAAAATCATTTTCTATCGAAGTAGCGGGCCTTGCGGCTTGCCGCCCTATGTCGTTATTGAAGAGAGTGAGTGAGGTAGTTTATGTGAGGTGTGTCACGTGTGAGGTTGAGTATGGATGAGGATAGGGGTTCGGCGAGAGGAATTAAAGTAATTCTGTTAATCAATCGAGGTAGAACGGTACTACAATGAACCTGTGTATTGTACTAGTATTGTACGGCATCACTGGCACAAGTGGCCCGGAGATGACTACCTCCTAAAATTTTCACGTATGCCAACTTCCCATTCGCCCAGCAGTCTGCACAAAGCATCAGCGGGTAGTAGGGCTGATAGCAGAGAAAATGGGTAGCATCACGTATTTTCATTTCAATTTTTTTGTGTTCTTGTAAAAATGTCGCCTGATTAGGATGGGCTTTGGGGTGATGGGCAAAGAAGGGGATTATCCTTCTTCCTTAACCCTCACCATTTTCTTCAATATTTTTCTCCTTGATAATTTCGATCTTGAGCTTGCCAGCAAAACTGTTTTCATACAGAATGGTGCATATTTCAAGTTGAATCAGCACAAGTAGGCAGCTGCTCCTTCTGAACAGCTTACTTGTACTGATTCAAATATGCATTATTCTGTATGAAAACAGTTTTCCTGGCAAGCTCAAGATTGAAATCATCAAGAAAAAAAGGATCGAAGAAAATGGCGAGGATTCTGGGAGTGCCAGCACTGCCAGGTAGGTCTTTTTTGACAAACTTTTGGAGAGAAAATCCTTGTGTCAAGCTGTCAAGCATTCACTGGATTGGCTTTCCAACCACCTGGCTGATCAATTTAAAAGCCGGGTGCCTGCGGCATCCGTTCGTGCTTCGTTTCACTGAATGAGGATATCTCTGAATACGAAAGTGCGGCGATCTGGTCACGTGATCGTTGGCCAAATAATAGAGACGCGTTCACGGTACTGCATTGACTACTTACCATAATGTGGCTGACCAGTTGCCCCTGCCCCCAGTTGCTCCTGCCCCGAGTGTGACCCAGCGGCTCTCGCAGCACCCTCAGTCTCTGTCAGCAGTTGTCGGTGCGAGAATAGCGTGTTCGCGCCTTTCGTGCAGGTGGTCGTAGCACATTGTTTGTCTGTTGCCGTTACAGCATGAGAGGAGGGACGAGCGAACTGCTGGCGAGAGCTAGTACCAGCTGAAAGGGCAGGTGAGCGGCGGACGATGTGCTGGCACCACTTTGGGAAGATGTGATGGTATCTGCACCCATTCCACTTGAAGTTCCTATTAGTTATGGTTCGACTTCCCAACGTAGAGGAATGTGTGTGGGCAGTGTGAGCACTGAACAGATTGTCCCGTGGCTGGACGGGAGTTGCTGCTGCACCAGTCGCCGCACAGTGCGGCGGTTTTTGCCACGCTTTCGAATGCACATATGGTACATGCTACCCATTTGCCGTGCCTCATTTAACTAACGGCTACTTCACCACCTTTTGCCACCAACTCTGCTTTAAAGCGAACACAAGCTAGCACCATCAGACATCTGCCACACAAGAATCAGCCGGTAATAGGGCTGGGGTGGACATATTGTGGGCTCGAGGAATGCACAGAGTGCTTGATAGCATGATAGCAGAGAGAATGTGAAAGTATTGGAGAAGATCAAAGTGCGCTTCTGCTTCAAGTTAGATTCTCTTTTTTATTAAGTTCATAAGCATTCTAAATACCATTACATAAAAAAAAATGTTCAGTACATGATATATGGACGGCGGAGAAGTCAAGGCTACTGGTATTGGTATTGTAATTTTGGCTCATCAGGTATCAAGGTAAAGTTAAGATCGGTTGGTGATGGCGGATACTCCTGATGAGATTGGTTGATGAGCGTGAACATGACATCACGCATTTTGTTGATCTCGGCATCAGATTGTCGTGTTGCCAGAATGAAGAACTCAGGTCCAAAGTGACCTCCAAAGTCGTTCCGCAACTTCTCATTCTTTTCATCCGTCCGAGGAACCTCCTCCAACCACTCATATTCAGGAACGTCGCCTCGCCTGATAGTGGCCCATTTCCAGAATGGACCAGCACTCGCCAAGGCGATGACCTCCACGGCTGTAGGATAGATTAGAAAGTGTACTGCGCAGTAGCGCATTGTGTCCTCAATAGCCTCTGAAAGAAGGGCTAGAAGGCTGCCCTCCCAAGATTCACCGGTAGTAGGATTGAATGTGTCCTCATCGGCATCTGGCACATCCTCCGTCTGGATCTCTAAGATCTCGGTGACCCCAACAATATCAGCATCTCCACGTGGAGGTGACCGCTTGAATTCGCCAATGAGGAGCCCACAGCGATGAATTATCTTGATTCCCGCCCTAGCCGCGTATTGACTCAAGAGAGTCCTCAATCGCATAATCTCATCAACTCCCTCTGCTCCCTTTGTTTTGCTCCGCACATATTCGATGGTGGGTTGTTCAATGGTTCCTCCAACAAGGTGCACCACTGTAATGTCTGGTCGCGAATCCTTGGCATCGGAATCCGTCACAGTCACCATGCCAAAGTCAAAGAACTCCCCTTCATCAACTGGAGTACACATCATATGAATAAATAGATGAACATCAGCATGTCTTCAACGGAATAGAGAGAGAGAACCCACAACTATCCAATTCTTTCTGCTCGATTCTTCCTTTCAGCTTATTTAACTCTCCCTGTGTTTTTTGAATAGAGAGCTCTTCCATTGAATGCAGCATACTAGCCATGACAGGGAGCCTTTCAGAATGACGTGAACCTACTGGACGGTTGCTTGCAGCTTTCTGCTGAGCAATTTTTCTTTCCTCCAAATCGATTCTTCTTTCCTCCAAATTTCTGTGACCTGCTTCCAGCTCCAATTCATTTATCATCCTC